TTTTTTTTTTTTTTTTTTTTTTTGAGGCGATTTTCAAGAGGCTACGTCATGTTTCACATATTAAAATGGGTTAATTTATTAAAGTTACTAAATCTTTTATGACATGGTCTCCAAAATTGCACAGAGCAACGAATTAACCCATTCCATCATTTAATTATACTTCGACCAACGCGATGACGTAAAGAGACGTCATTACGATGTCATATTGTTAAATTTGTGCTGAACATTTTTCTTGCACGAACGCTTGTTATATTGTGATTAGGCACGGAACAAGATTAGAGCCCTCTATTACAAATAATATGTTTTAATTTATTCCAAGCTTGCGAGTGGGCGGAATCCTCCAAATCCCACAATCTGATTGGCTCCGAGAGCGGGCAGTATTTTGTAATCTTTCCAGCTAACCTGGGCGGAATCGTTGGCAGCTTGACAAGTTTGATTGTTGTTTGTGACTTAGCAAAAACCGTCATTTTCATATCATTCTTCTTTTAAAATTTGCGCTATCATATCGCTATTATTGTATTATTTAGACAAAAAATCTGAAAGGAGAATCAAGCAAGTGAGCGAGAAAAACCGTTAAAGTAAAGCAAAGCAGGTGGTTCATGATGTCGCTTCACTAGCTTTATAACTGTGCTGTAAGTACTGCAGTCTTGCTTTTATGCACCGTTTATTGGACAGTTTTGCTCTGCTTGAAGTTTTGTTTTCCATTTATGCTGTAAGAATCTAGATTCCGCCGTTTTTCATTGAATTTTGCCTTGCTAGTTTTCTGCTTATCAGCAAACGTTGTTTTCAATGATTGAATTTAGCTTTCAATCTTAAATAAACAACACAAATCATTTTTCCAGCAGTCGGTGATCGCCGTTTTCATTTCTTTGTTTATAACTTGTTACTCACGTCGCCTTCTTTTATTCGAATTCAATTCAAAACCTTCACATTGGTATATGTGTAACTAGCTTTTTCTACAAAGCCTATGAGGAGTTTTCATCCCACTCGATTAAACTAATCTTAAAGCAATTTTGGAATTATCAAGCCGAAGAAAAGCCTTACTGTATTTTTTTTTTCCTGGAGCTTTTAATATCAAGCTCGTCAATTTGTTTTATCCTTGTTTGACACTCAGATTACGAATTGTCTAGCAAAGACACAAAAAGCTTTCTTTATTCTAAAAGAGAGCAGTAAGTACCACAATAAAATATAAATTACCGAGCTAAAAATTATGTTGTAATGTTTTGTTTTAGGATCGATCGCGCGCTTCGTCAACACGAACGCGTCCTACTTCCACATACATAGGTTGGAGAGTGAAGGAAAATTTTCCCGAAACTTTTAAATCTCAGTAGGAAAAAAAATAAAAGTGTTATTCACCGGCCAAGGTCGGTCCGTATTAAGAGAAACTGTGCCATCGGTGTGAGTACCCTTGACCTACAGCCTCGGGCGGTACTCAAGACCTCGGGCACAGTTTCTCTTAATACGGACCTCTTCAGTAATTGATATTAACATTTCAAATTCTACTCTTGTGATACACTAGGACTACATGTAGTTCACGATCCTACTAGTTTAAAGGTAGAGGAATTCAGGTAGTACAGAAAATTATTTTAGCATAAATAAGCAAGGAAGGAGTTACCTCTTGAAGAATTTTAGGCTGAAGATCAGCCTCGAACAACGATTGAAAAAAAAAATACATATTCCATTAGTTAATCCATCTATCAGTTACCCCTGTTGAGGGCACCTTCATTGTGGCTTATTGAGACACATTTGACAGTTCATAATACCTGAAAAAAGACTTCAGTTGAAGCAAGAAAAGGTGCAAACTTTTGGAGCCGTTGTCAAATGACCATTTTTTTTTTTGTGCTGGCGTTAGACCCTGCTGCATCACTATATATTAAGTAAGTTACGGCAAAGAAACTGTTTCAATAGAAATGACGAACGTGGTGATTACAGACTCACATGATAATCAAGCCAGACACCTTCTTTCAAGTTTAAATGCATTTATTTTTATTTTAATACAGCGATGGACTGTTTCATTGTTTTTTATTAATTTCTAAACTAATTCTATAGCATTATAAGCGACTATATTCGGACATAAGAGTTGGTAAGCTTCTTTATTTTTTGGACGTCTGCCTCGAAACTCGTGGAAACTTATCTGGGTGACCTGTATTTAAAGAGAACAAAAATGAAATCAACAACCGCAACTAAAACTTCTGCATAATGATAAGACTGAGGTGTTATCGTTTATTCTTTCCTCCTTGATGAGTTTAAACTAAAAAAGATTCACATACTCAAATGGCTTGATGGGAATCAATGACCTTGACCTTTTTATATACTACGTTTTTTTCTTTTTTTGTTATTATTTTTTCTATTTTTTTTTTCTTACTACTTTGAACAGTAACAAGGGCTCACTTAGTTGTCGTTGGCATTCTCGTCTCCATAAAAACAACGACGAAGGCAGAGGCGTACGCAGGTTCGTCGCCTTTTTAGTCCCAATCTTCTGGTGAAACATTTTCGTACTACTTTCCTGCAGCGACGGCGAGGGCGACGTCTGCGACCCTTCCCTGAAAGTGACACAGCAATAACTATTAGATGTACAGACA